TTTTATGTTAATTAGATAATAATGTTCATATTTTTGCCATTCTTACATCTTTCAAAAGAATCACTATGATGTGTTAATATGAAAAATGATTTTTCCAATAATTTTTTTAATTTATTAAAACTTCAAAGAAGTATTTTTCCAAAATGCTAATTCAATTTCTTGTCGATGTTCTTTAGTATCTAATGACTTCACCTAAATATTGAATAAAGAATATAAAGTTAGGATAATAAAATACATTAAATTAGTATAATAGAAGTATATTTAAAATATAAAATTTAATGTATTTAAATATAAGTGACGTTTACTCAAATGCAACTGATATCTTTAAAAAAAGCTATTCTCTTCCACATTCCTATGTAAAAGCTGCAATATTTCTTATTTTTAAATTCACATTCTTAAATTTGTAGATTTTCCAAAAGAATGATTGACACGATCGATTACAAAGAATTTTCTATTTGCAATTTCCGCGTATTCATCGATCGCGACGAAGCGTTCGTCGTATAATAGTTTCATTTTCCATTTGTACCTTGCCTACTAACGCTCCAATATCTCTCGTCCCGCCGCGCTTTAATAATATTACGCATTGTTGCGAGGGCGGTATGCATGCTTGTAAATTCGCCACGGTTTTCCGCCAATTTCGCGGCTGCGAGCCAGACGTGCTCCTCCCCCTTCTTTGCCGCAAAATCGCCACGGGGTACTACTCCGCTATTTCAATTATAGACGTGAATATTTTTTTCTCGTGCAACGTAGATTTACACGCATGAAACTTTTACTCGCAACGGAAAGGTGGCAAGCAATATTTTTTTTACGAATTTTGCGAGTATATGAAATAGAATTGACATTGAAGGAACAAAAATAGACGAGGATTTTTACAATGAATAATAAAACATATTTTTTCGAAATACGATATTCAAAATATTTCGAGTACAACGTGACATTTAAACATGATTTTGAGCATTGTACAGTAGATAAATGTGTTCTGAATTGTAAACCATTGTACCTAAAACTATCACAATAGTATAGAAACTAAAATCTGCCTGAATCGTGCATGTGGAACGACAGGATCTCTCGTTAGTTCTTGTACGAAGTAAATCTGCCGTTGGGCATCAAATAAGGATAGCGTCGAAACGCATTGATGCAGTCGGGTGGAAAGATTGCAAAAGGGTGACTAAAGGAACTGGCGGTGAGCGGAGAAAGAGAATGAGAGAGAAAGAGAAGAAGAGGGGAAAGATTTCGGGCTCTCGAGTCATTTCTCCGAGCCAACACAGACCTCTCAACTCGACGCCACTCGTGGAAACGGAATCTGATACGAGAAAAGCTAAACTCCTTCAAATGCACAAGCCGTTCTCTATTCGCCCCCTATCTACCTTCTCCTACCTATACCACTGCTTCCCTCTTCATCTCTTTACCTCTTCTCCTCTCATTCGGAGTTTCCAACCCCCTGAGCGTCCTCCTCGTTCCGCCGCCTCTTTCGACTCTTGCTCCTTTCAGCTACCCACTTATACTCAGTCAACCCTTTTCATTGCGAAAACGTCGTTCTGCATTTCACCATTCCTCTTCCTTCTTATTTTTCCTTCTCCTTTCTTCTCACCCCCCCTCTCTCTCTCCCTCTCCCTCTCTCCCTCCCCCTTCCCCTCTCCCTCTCTCCCCCCTCTCTCTCGCTCTCTCTTTCTTCTTCCTGCCTCTTTCCTTGTTTTTAATGCGTCGTTTAAGGATGTTCCGCTTCCTTATTTGCGTTCTCTTTTTTCTCTCTTTTTTTTGTTACATCATAGGAACCCCTTTCTCCAAGTTTCTTTTCTATCACTCTATTTTCGATTGAGCATTGCCATCGCGCGCTCTTTCTCGAAAAGCAACTGCCTGACTTCCGGCTATTTAATTCCCTTAATTAACAGCCGGCATAAGAGTCTCAGATTTGAACTCTTTCATGGCACGCGACCTTCTTTGCAAGCAAAGAAGTTCGAGTGGAACCCATCGCGTTTTACTTTCATGAATAGATCGATAAGAAGTATTTTAATGTATAAAACATTGAGTAAACTGAACGAGTAAAATAATAAATAATTATCTCCAACATTATTCTTTATACATCTTTATCTTATCAGCATCTCTTTTTTATTTCCCTCATTATATTCTAAAATTTAAATGTAATAATTATAGTAGTGTTTTTGATGTACTTACAATATTACACTTGAAAATTACAATTAGTATTTTATATTATATTATATTGCTAATGTTGTAAAGGAAAACATCTGTTGGGAAAAATTTAAATATTGTATGTAACTACAATTATTTTTTTTTAAGAAACGAAAAAGAAATTTATAAAAAAAGTTATATTATAAAAACGTTATAATATTATACGATGGAAAAATATACTGTCAGTTTTTTAGGGATTTTAATGCTATTGTAGTGCAACTATTGTGCATCTATAGCTATTGTATTGTAATCACAAAATTTAAAAGTAAAAATGCCTTTTTTTAAAGATAAGAAAAATAAGAAACTGAGCATAACCTGTTTACTATTTTTACTCTATTTATTTACAAATTTATGTAAATCTTAATCTTATTCTTATTATTACTATTCATTTAAAAAAAAAAAAAGATTTTACTTCAATTTTTCTCAACTATTTTTTGAGCTATTAGTCATAAAAGTATGTAAAATTATATGATGTGTATGTGCATCCGCAATGTATGGGCTCTACATGTGGGTTCACTAAACTTGACTACAGAAGAAAAGATATCTGAAGCAATGCCAAGATGATGCTGCCGCCGTACGATGTGTAAGAAAAGCTTGTTGTTTCTCTTCGCTCGATGGGTCAATAAAGTTTTTTTTCTTAAACATATTTTATACTGATAATTCGCAAATTATTCGCATGTTCAAAGCTGTACACGCGTAAGAAATGAATTTAATATGTGAAATATCCGAAAATTCAGTAAAAGAAATTCAGTATTCGTATAATAAGAGCATTAATTCAGTGATTTATTATTTCCGTAATTACGAGTAATTAAATAAATGATTCTGTTAACTTAATATTTCAAAAATTTTTGTTTTATAACAATGCAAATGCTGAGTTAATCATTTTATGTGAAATATAATAATAATAATAACAATAACAATAATAATCAAGCTCTAATTTTAACTATACTACGCACTGCAAAGCAATGTAATGAAATATGCTACATAAAAATGTATTATTAAAGTAATAATAAAAAGATCATACTCATGGTAGATTTAAATAAATTACATGGAGAGTCTCTTAGAAAGTATAATATGCACAATTTACATAAATGTACATACATAATTAAAAGAACAACTGCTGTGCATTGTTAAATTCATGTTGCTAATAGAAACAAAAATTATTATAGATTTAATATAATGAAACATATGTAATTGATGCAATTTATTACGATTCAGCCACATTTAACGTATCGAGCATTATTAACGATCCGCACGCAGCTTTGCAGGGATCGTCACACATTCAACACGCCCTTTCGCTCTTTCGATCGATAATAATTATTCTCGTAAATTCAGGCATAAGCACGCGTATATGAGAGTTACAGGCTGGAAGCGGGGAGGATAGGAAGGACAGAATTGCCAGGCCTGCTCGGTTAAATGCTCATAATGACGTCTCGTAATTGCATCGAAAGTTTCCAGGGAAACTGTAATTATCGTGCAGGCTCACTTCCAACGATATCTTTGGCCTCCGGTCGCCTGTAATCGACGGGACGCCAAACCTAAAGAAAGGAAAGCTGCTTTTCTGACGGAATATTTTTCCAAGCGGGCGAGGACGACGTTATCTCGAATCGAAAAGAGGATCGAGAGCTTCATAATGGAGCCTGCCAGCTTCGGATATTCAAAAAAGAGAGAAGCTTAAAAATGCGTCATTTAAAATTTTCTCTAATCCGTGTTCCAGTTAAATCAATTAGCGTTGACGAGAGAAGATTGTTCAAATTTCCTCATTTGTATACGCTATAGTTCTTCTATTCTATTTAAAATCGTTTTTAATACCAGATTTTATTAAGCTCTAGCACTCATTTTGCAGTTGATACCGTGCATAAATTTCCTAGCTTTACAAATTATTACTAGCTCTTATAATAGCATCGTAATGACGAATGATGATCATTTATAAATATGCAACATTTTAACATTTATTTGCTTACGAGTCTTATTCTTGTAATTTTAATGGGTGTTTTTATCGCACTCTGATAAAAAGTAATAGAAACTAAAAAGGATAATGATAATTATAGATATGCTTTTTTTGTCAGTAATTTAATTTTACATTCTTTATGTAATTAAGATTTCAGAGTCGTTCCTTGATTTCCGATTTTAATATTGAAGTAATTACATTATTTTATTTTAGATCAAGGAAATAGTCGATTGCTTAAAAGATATGATTTTAATAGTATAAATAGATGTTGTTTGCGATGGATTGTTCACTTGTAGTGATAATTACTCGAAGATTCATCGAGCCGCCACAATGATTTGAATAATTTATTCGAACGATCAACTATATTAATATTCATTATTCGGTCAATCATCAGCACTCGGATAATTATCTGCGTAAACGTTCATTATTCAGCTAAGCGAATGCGTCTGGCAATTGATTCGGTACTTGGTATACGTTGAAGCTATCTAAACATTTCTATCGTCAACAATATTGATACATGCAGCAACAACATGGTTTGTGATCAGAGGTGACTAAACTCGCGTTTGGTTTGAAAGATAATCATCGTGAAGCCAACACACATATTCATAATACAGACATTGTAATACGTATCATAACTATGTTTTATAATATTCACTCATATTGCAAAATAATTGTTACGGTTCTTTCTTTATATTAAATTTATATTTGTAATTAATTTGCTACACATAAGTTTTAATAGTTAAAAATTTATTGTAAGTTTTATTATATCAGTTTCACTTTTTATTTAAATTTTTAACAAATTCACGTGTATATATTTATAGTGATCCAGCATTACGTTAATTATTTGTCATTTACTTACCCCACTGAAGGTTTTGACGTTATGAAGAGCGTTCTGAGCTGCCAAAGCCGCTTTTCTAGTGTAAAAGGTTACAAAGCAACATCCTGTAACAGAAAATTAATATTTTTGGTTAGATGAGTGCTTAGCAAAAATTTTTAATTAATTGATCTTATTTTACTATGTAAAAATGCTAGCAGAATTTTATGCGGTTAAACTATTATTCAAAGATTAATTATTAGTCTTTGTCCTTTGTCTGTCAATTTATTTAATAAAGAAAAATGTATTTGAGTTAAATTATTGAAAGATGTAAAAATTTTCGTTTACATTGCGATTAAGTTGATGCAAAACTTTCACAATGTGCTGTAAAAGAAAAGAGACAACAATGTTATAAAATCTCAATACTACTTTCTGGCAGTAAGCGAATGAAAAGTTCCGCACTTCGGGTCATCATACCCGATGTGGCTATCAACAAGAAACTATGATAGACACGAATGGTCGCAGAGTTCATGTAACCAATGACAGGTTCGATATGGAAGAGACGATCGGAGAGGAAAGACTGAAGTCGACTCTCGGGGAGACCTCATCAAAGACCTTTCGTATCCCTCGGCTGGGCACAGCATCCCAGAGGCTGGACACCATCCAAGCTTCAACCGATCGATAGTTACGAGTTGCCAAAAGTTTGATATGCCGGATCGTTAAAGATCCGCGCCTCTTTCTCTACTGACTACTCAATCTCTGTCCTTCTTTGGTATCTTTAAGTCATCCCAGAATCATTAGTTTATTCATAGACGAAATAAGAATTCTGCATCAAACAGAAATCAAAAGATAGATACTGTACTAACTGACCATTCAGTAACGTCTCAATAATACATAAATTCATAACCAGATGAAGTCAATAGAGAAATTAAAGATTTATAGGAATAGAGATATTGCAATAAAAAATTTTACTATTAAAATTGATGTGTGGAACAAAAATTTTTTGAAACTAAGAGATTTGTCAGTTTATTTAATTTTAGTTTTAAAAATTGATGAAAATAAAAAGCTGTCAAACTGAAAAAATATATATAATCCAATAATATAGAAATCTGTAATATAATAAAATTTATATCAATTTTAATTATATTACAAATCGTTTCACTTTTAATGTACAAATATGATAATATTTTGAATAAGATGAATAAATGTACAAATAAAAAATGTGCAAAAGTAAGTATCTGCGAAGATTTTTAAAACTAGAAATATCTGAAATTTTCATAATAATTGTCAGTACATAAAAAGTTTCATAAGATAGTAAATACTATTAACTGTAATTGGGTTTTTCAGATATATTAAAATGTATCTAAGATTCTTTTTGTAAAATAGTAAGTATTAAAGATAATTAAGATATCGTAAAGTTAATGGCATCACAAGTTAATAACGGTCACGTTCAATTAACAGGTTTCCTATTTATGGTGTATACGAAATTATGATAAACCTGCAACGCGGCACTAAGCATAGAGGGTGTAATTATAATGCGATCGCGATAATAGTTTCGGTAACAAGCCTTCCAATTATTCGAGGAAATCCCGATATTCCGCAATGTTTTGTTTGGTAACGTGATATTCAATATCGCATTGAATAACGCATGGTACCGCGTTGAATGCATAATTGCGAATCGTGCAACCTGATACATAACGGAATGGTATGGAATGTTAGAACCAACGTATTAAGTTTGTCTAATCAAAAAAGGAGTCTTGCTTCAAGCACAACTGCATATAATATTTCATTTTAAACCCCCATGTAACTCGAGATATACAGACTGAATCTTTACTAAAGGAAATAATTAGCGGAATAATTTTCCTACGAATTAAAGAAAATAAAAATAAATGGAAACAAATCGAATACATTAAATTAATTTTTTTGTATGTCTCGTATTTCTTTACAATATAAATTAATCAATTAGATATATGCGTGGTAAACATTAAACAAACTGACAAAAATTAATCTCTTACGTCATTAAAGGTAATTCAGGGATTTTCGGAAATCGAGATTGTTTTATTTGAAATAAAGTTTCTCGCGTGCCTTTCATACACGCAAGCGAAGGAAGTGACATACTTAACATGTTGCCAGCAAGCTTCTGTAAATTACAGCATGAAGACGCAGCTGGGAGCCGGGAAATTATGTTCCGGCGAGTAAGTAATCTTAAAGCATCATCGTTTCATAGACCTTTAAATCACCGTCTGCAAACTGCCCCCACGCATCCTTTCACCGTCCATCGACCGGGTCTGTAATGTCTGTGTCTACAAATGACCTCGTTCGTCAAGGTGCTAACGTCAATCCATGTCTGCTTCCACATTATCTACTGGCGAATTATTTCGTCCCTTTTCGGAATCGATTTTGAAAATATATGTAGAAGATGTCTTCCAATTATTAAAACTATCAATCATCGGAAAATGTGATGATGCGCGTTAAACATTTATAATTATTTAAACTGTGACCAGATTCATAAATACTATTTTATAATTATTAACATTTTCTAATTGTGTTTAACAATTTTTTTCAATTAGATTAAAGTCATAGTTTATAATTATTTTAGAATTTTATCTTTAATTTAAATTGACTGTTGCAACGATAACTATGCTAGATAAGAAAAGCTATAAATATTTTTGTAATTAACAAATAAAATAAAATTATAGCAATGTACCAAATAAAAAATGAAATAATTTCAATAATTTGCCAGAGCCAATGCACGCGTGAGACACAATGTAATTGTCGCGATTATTCCACACGTGTCGTATGCGAATTGAGATTAATAATTAATAAGTAAATTATTAAGCTCCACGGTAACGCGCCCGGTATTCCCAAGTGTATCCGTAACATAGTCCGAATGGCGATAGTTTCTACGACTGTGTCGAGTCGCAAACCAGTGTAATTTCCTGAATTAGTTTAAACAGCATGTTTTATTCAAAGTAACTACTTTGTCGGGTCATTTTACAGAGCGAGACTTCATCAAACTGACGTTGTTAAATCGAAACATTATTTTTAATATCTTGTAATAATACAAAATAAATAATAGCGAAATGATATTCGTAGCGCACTTTTCATCAGACATTTTCATGATAAATACGTACTGAAGTGACTAGTTTGTAATATATCGACACTTTTAAAAATTAATAAGACTACTCTCCAGTTGCAGAAAGTTTATTCGTAATTTAGAAAGTATAATAAAATCGAGGAGAAAATTAAAGATCTCGAAACTAGGTTATAAACAAAATATACCATATATATAATACGAAATATGCGATATAAATAGCCACACGTTTAATGTCAACCACGTATGCGCAAATCGAAGAGAATTATTCATAGGGTTGAACAAAATGATCATTGTTAGGAGATTTAATGCTAATGCCAACACGATATAGATTGTAAACCAATGCGCCGAATTATTAACCAATTTATACGTTAATTCTCCGTTGTTCTCCCCCTCCAACGCCAAGGATAACTCACAATAGCAGCGCCCGAATCATGCCGAAGAGGAAAATTAGCTTGAATTTTAAATTGAAATACGACAAAATTTTTTTCCGTATTTCGTGATTATGATTGCGTCTAGACACAATCTCAAGAAACAACGGATACAACATCGAGAGATAAAACGTAATTTAAAATTCTTTCAATTCGCGTAAACGAACGAATCGTTAGCATAAGCGAGGAACAAATTTAATTACGGCCTCGAATTACGCCGTCTACAAAAATCACGGTGAGCGCAAACGAACGAACGAACTAACGGGGATATCTACCATTAGGAATTCCCAATTCACGCCGTAATTATCGCTAATTGGACTCCGGATTATACTCGCGCGACACTCGTCGTGTGAAATGCTCGAGTCGTTCGAGACGCGAATTATGCATGTCCCATACGTAGGTATTTCTGATAGCTACGAAGGACTTTGTGGTGCCGAAAGGCTGCACGAAACATGAAGAATTGTAAAGGGAGAGTCAGTTTCTTATACTCAAAATAATCGTTCGCACACTGAATTTAAATAGCTATTTTAAATTTTTAATAAAAAGAATAAATAATAAATTAAGTCTTTTCATCGAAATTTTAAAAAATTTTCTCGAAAGTACGAGAAAATATATTTTTTTTAACTGTAAGTAAAAAAGAAGGTATGAGATGTATTATATGGTCGATTGGTCGTCGGTAGCCGGAAACCTACACTACCTCTCCCATGAGCTCGCGGCTAATACCTCGATGCCAATGCGTGATTAGTGTCCGCGGGGAAATCTACCGCGGACATGTTTGAGACCTAATGCTCGTTTCTGCCTCAGAACCCCCGTGTGCTTTTCCGCGCCCAATACGAATGCAACTAATTTCAACGCGAATCAATATAGCAATTCTCTAAAATTGTCGATGGTCATTGCGAGTAAAGATATTTCCAATTATAGTACAATTTCTGCATTCTCATCGATAGTACCGGCTGCTGTCAAAACTTTTTATTTCAGTCCCGGAATGAACTGGATTTCTTTGTGAAGATCCGGAATATACAGGGTTTGTCCGGAAAGTAATAGGACTGATTTTCTTCCGCCGCGACTGTACTTCGGAGCGTGTTCGCACCGACTGGATTCGGTAGAGGGCTTTCCTAGCTAACGAACGAGCGGCTGGTCAGTTGTCTCCGAGCACCTGGAGAGTCAGGACAGGCATTTTCGCGCGACGTGTTTCTGTGAGTGGTGCAAGCCAAAAATGCAGCGTTCGTTAGAGCAGAGGTACGCGATTAAATTCTGTGTGAAACTCGGTAAATCTGCGACAGAGACGCTTGATATGATCAAGCAGGCTTACCCAGATGTTGCTTTAGCAAGAAGTGGTGTGTTTCGGTGGCACCAGGCCTTTTTGGAGAGCCGGAAAGAGCCGTCATCGCCGATGAAGACCGTGCTGGAAGACCTTCGACTTCGACAAACACCGACAATGTGACTCGTGTGCACAAAGTTTTGACTCAGACCGTCGACTAAGTATTCGTCTAATTGCCCAGATGTTAAATTTACCAAAATCTGTGGTTCATGACATTGTGACGGAGCATTTGAACATGCGCAAGATGGTCCCAAAAGCTACCTGACCAAGGCCCTTCCGGCT